TATGACAAGTCTCAAGAAGAAAATAAAATGCATATGAAGAAAACACTTTCAATTAAAGAAACTGTGGATAGTACAAGACCCTCAAGGCATACATCGCAACGAATCTATGTAACTATCCAGACTACAAAATACTGTCAAAGTTCAAAACCACTCAAAAATATGTAAACAAACATCAAAAGTTTGAACCAAAAATCAATGTAAGTCTGTGCTCTCGAAGAAAGTTATAATGAACTCAAAAAGAGGATACTATCAATAGACTTCAAAAATAGAAGTACGTAAGTATTTAAAGGAAATTCAGAAAATATACGCATAAAAACATTATAAAATATTATACACAGTATTTGTCACATGATTTAGATCGGGAATGCAATTTAAATTTTGAGTACACTCAGAAAAATGAAATATTCAAAAGATGAAGTATACACATTAAATTGGAATCAGAAAAATAATGATTACTTGTAAATTTTGTACATGGTGGACTGACGTGATGGTTCAAAAGGTTGAAAGAACAACGATGACTAATGTCCAAAGTAAACATTCAGCTGCCTCTTACAGCAAATAAGTTTATTCATTATCAAAGGAAATTCTTCTCCGTTCGCATCTGTACTAGGAAATAAACATAGGAAAACCTACTCGCTCCAATGTACAGATCGAAAAACTCGCCCCCTTCGATTGAGCGGAAATATGAAAGGATCCAAAACACTATAAAAAACTAACAATACAAACAAACAGTTTCAATACAAAAACAGGAGCAGCCGAATCTTAAAAAAAATTATTTTATATCTGTCATACATTAAAAAAGTACAGAGACGTTCAAGTCCTGTTAATCCAGTGGAAAATCAGACACTAATGTTCTAATTTCCCCCAAAGAATATGCCAGATAACTATAAAACATTAAAATTCTGAAAACTTATGCTCCAAACAAGAGACAAAATTACTACAATAGTTACTGAGGAACGTATACTATATATTTAAACAACAAGTTGACATTTAATTACCATAAATGAGTATGTGTGTCTTTGTATAGGTAAAAATGATTTAGGAGTCACCCCCCATTGAAAAGTAGCAAAAATATAGTCAAGAAAAACATCATTTGTTTCTTGAAAGAAAAAAAAAAGGTAAGTATCAACGCACTATGTCAAAGTGTCAATACTTGAAAAAAAGTAAACCGCCAAAATATACGAAAAATTATGAATATCAATTTCATATAATTCAGAAAAATGGATAAATCGCAAAATGATTTACTCCAGATAACTCTAGTCAGTAGATTATTGCCATCAGAATGAAAACAAATGATCAAAAGTTCAAGTACAGTCAAAAATTCAAAAAGTAAATACATTTGGGGAAGGCAAAAATAATTTTGAAAGTAAATTTCCTACGTACCAAACATCATGAGAGCTATATCAGTACACCAGAGATCCAACAATTAGGCTATATATGCGTACATGAAAAGTCTCAAGAAATCAAAAAACTGCACATGAAGAAATACTTTCAAAAACTAAGAGGTTAGTGATCAAAAATGAAAAGCATATAAGAATATGTAAACTATCAACAACAATAGTCACAACCTCAATCAAAAGTTTGATGATATTCGACAAAAATGCTGGGAAACCTAAAGTCCCCAGACTATCAATATTCAACAACAAAAAAAAATATCAAAATATCATCAATCTCAAAAGTACAATGAGAAAAAAGTTATAACTGTCCCCAGCAGTAAATAAAAACTATAGTAGTATGTGAGAAAAAAAATTCTGGCAATGATCTCGCTGACTACTAAACAAGACAATTTAAAAGTTAATAGTATGCCTATGAAATAAACAGGTGGAAAAATTTTAATCTTTTGATAAAAATTTTAAACATTAAGCAAAAAGTAAGGATGATTAAGGAATTAGAAATTTGAGTACCAAAAGCAATTAAAAATAGAAATGCTGCCAAAGATTGTAAAGAATTTTGAAAACTATGTTCTGTTTGCCAATCTTCCACTAGCAAACCACTTGTCGACAAAGCCAAACACCTATCGAAGCCTCACGTTGCGGGTGCCAATTTATGTAACGCTTCCTTTCCGCAAAAAGTCCAGAAAAGATGGAATACAATGAAGATTCCAACTTTTCTGCACAATCACAGAAAGGGGGTTACAATTAGCTTCCGGTAGCTCAGTCGGTGGCATGAAGACATCTACAGGCGTGTAGCTGTGTGTCGACCATGGCATGGCTAGAGGATAGAAGAACAAACAGAACACAAAAATTTAACAGATTTTATTTAATAAAAAAAAGGCATTTTCATTACAATTTTACAAAAATAACAAAGTAAGTTTTACATCTTTGGCGCTGCTATAACGCTATCGACTTATCTTTTGCTGGTCCATTTTGACTCGACTGAAGCGAGGATGGTTGAAGTGGAGGTCCCAGTTGTGAGGGGTGACCTCACTATAGTGGCTTCATGACCAGTTGTAGGCGAAGTTAAAGGCGATGGCGCTGCCAAGGCACATGCATGGGTGAAAATATTGGCCAAGGCTAGGCAAAATGAAAGGGAAAGAGAAAGGGGGTGGCCCCAATCATTTTTGTCCTATACGGACACACATTCTAGAAATCTAGCACATGGTGCTATATAACCTTGTGCTACTGAGAAGAAATTTCTAGCCGTTGTTCGATCGGCGGCTCAGGTGAAAAGGAAGCGCGAGGAAGATCGCAGATCAGGAACTCCGCATCAAGCGCTCCAAGCGGAAAATTTTCCAAGCAAAAAGCTAGAGATGGGATTAATGAAATGATAATCGAGAAGTGATTTAATAAATACGATCGGACGGTGAAACCGTTACACACTACGAGAAATCACCACCGCGTCCGCGTTGTGTGCAATTAAGCCACATCACAGAAAAATTAGTAATGACGCATCTCACATCAAACATTTTCGCAATGCCTCACATCTAGGCGCTGATTTGTATTTTCTATTGACATCGCAAAATAAATTTCGATAAAATTTTAAATGACTGGATATAAAAAATAATGTAATAACCTTTTCACTTTCAGTCTGTAGCATATTTTCTCACCTGTTTCTTCACCAACAAGGAATTTTGTTTTCTTATCTCTCTCATTTTTGAAATTCAGCAAATTTGCGTATGTAATTTCCAGAATCAATAAGAAAAAGTGGACGCGCAACTTATTTCTAGCTTTGAATCTCAAGTAAGGGTATTTGAGACAAGAATCCAATAGAATTATGATCAACACATGTTATTAGCACACAAATCCTCACTATGCATCTATGCATTGCCGTTTCCTTCTAGCTATAGTATACCACTTATAGCTACTTACAGATTTTACATCACATCAGAGCCAAACATTGATAACTAAAGCATCATGACGTTATGCAACACGTACAACAAAACGAGTTCACAAGTGACCATCAGCCAGTGCTAAGTTAACATCTTGTAGGAAAACCTACAGAATGTCACAAAAAACAATACAATGTTAAAAAAATCCACATAATGTCACTTTTTAAGATACATAATACCCATGCGGCTGCTGCTGAGCACGAAAACCTCTTTCATCGTTGTACTAGGGGAATTTACATTTTCTCTCCCGAAATGACGGCACTCACAGGAGGGTTTCATAGCTGATTGTTATATAAGCTGTGGTGATCAAATGCTGCGAGTTGTCAAATCTATTCGAAGGCTACTGCGATACGACATAAATCCGCTCGCGCTGCATAGCTGGTCCGCTGTAGGTTATCTGAATGCGCTCACTGAGACTGGGCGTGACTTGCCTTTAGTTTCTCTTTCGGTAGATCGTGTGCGAGTTTTGAGTTATGATATTTTGACCCTAGATATTAGATTTGTAGCATTTCTATCTTTTGTTTTTCTAGGTATTTTTCTCGTGTTTCTTCCTATTCTTGGCGGCATGCGTGGTAGCGTGGAAAGCGAAACAAGCAGCCGATGTGCGACGCGCTCGTCGCCGGCACGTAGTGGAAATGCTACACATGGCGAAACGGCCCTTCGCCAGGGTCACAGTGAGTTTGGGTGCCCTGGGCACTCCACCTAGTACCAAGAAGAGAACCGGAGGATGGGAGTTGAGGCCGGTTGCTGTCGAACCCACCGGTAAGATTCGTTTAATTCGTAACTACTCTGCGCGAATTACGGCAAAAGTACGTCATAAGTAGATTGAACATGACAAACACTATTTTTATCACTTTTGCCCTATAAAATCATAAAAAGCATGCTTTGCAACGACTGTTGTTTTAAATACACGGTGTTTCCAAAATACGGGGGACAAAATGTATTTATTAGAATTGTTTGATTCCGATATAATGAACGGTTCTGGGGTAGTGGAGTGAAACCGACATATTATTTTGGTACCGTTTTATAAATTATGGAACCGATTCCGAATACCGGTTCCTTGGTTTCGAAAATTGACAATTCTGATAACAGATCGATCATCAGCGATCTGAAAAACCACGGATATTTTTTCTTAAAAACGGTTGATATCGAAATCAAACATGAATAAATTTTTTGAAACAACCGCAGGCAGCACAACTTGACGTAAATGGAACAGTTAACTTTATCGAGGCACGTTCCAATTTCCAAAAATATTATTTTTAGGTTATTATTATACAAAGGCGTAAAAATCATTAGTAACATATTTCGTTTATGGTTAGTCCGTCTCTGCCGAACTAAATGAGTTAATAGTTTTCGTTGGATTATATCGCCGCCTAAATTCTAACTCAGCGTAACTTACAATTGACTGAAGACAGCAAGAAAACGGCGGATCTCCACGCCATCATCGATGCGATAAGCTGATCAGGGTTGCCAGGTGTGCCAGGATTTTTCACAAAAACTAGTGATATTTTACCCGTTTGCAACCATTACATATTTGCATAAGTCTGTGTTTTATTAAATTTATCTTTTTTCTCTCGTTAATTATTTATTTCCTCTCGACAAAAAATTACATAGTATAGGAATTGTCATATATTTTCAAATCTGATAAAAAACCTACATCTATCAAAAAACAGTCAAATAATAAAAAAATAAGATATAAGGGCATATATCAAAATATTCGTCCACACTATCAAAAGCCATTTTCAATTAAATTGTCTTTTAAGATTCTTAAATGTCTTTAGACTGTGCTAATTCTTTATTTCCAAAGGAAGCAGGTTAAACATTTTTAGGCCATTAATATTAGGGACAAATAACTTGAGTTCTATAGGGTGGTATAAAAGTCTTCACTAACCTCAAATTAATTGATGCGTGTTTGGAATTTTTAAGTATGTATAAACAAGTTTCAAATATATCATATAAACCAGTAAGTGTTAGTATCTGAATCTCTTAAACAGATCTCTACATGATGTTCTAACTGCTATACATCTGATAATTCTTTTCTCTTTCATGAACACATTTTTTGAATTAGTAGAGATCTATCTATCTATCTAATCTAATGACAGAGTCAACCTGTGCATGACACAAAGTAATTAAGTAATTTAATGGTGGAATATCTCTTAAATTGAATAATATACAGGGTGCGTCATCTAATACTTTTTTTCTATTTGAAAAATCAACACGCTTTTTACGAGGTGAAATCGAACTTTTTCATTGATAAATGAAGATTGGTTTATGCCATTTATGTATGAAAAATAGCATCAGTCATGTGACCACCGCGGCTTCGTTTACAGGTCAACATCCGAACATCAAAATTTTAAATGACTTTTCCCAGAATAATCGGACCTATGGCCGCAATTTCAGTCCGAATATTGCGCTTTAGGTCTTGAATGGTCCGGGGCCAATTCGCATACACTTTTCCTTTCAAAAATCCCCAAAGAAAGTAGTCAAGGGGTGTTAAATCGCACGATCTCGGGGGCCAACTGACATCTGAATTTCGTGGAATTATGCGGTCTTGAAATTTCGTGTGCAATAAGGCGATTGTTTGGCGATGTGTGAGCCGTTGCTCCGTTTTGATGAAACCAAAGATCGTCGGCACCAATACGATCCAATTGTGGCCACAAAAAGTCTGTTAACATGGCGCGATAACGTTCCCCGTTGACGGTAATGGCCTTTTCTTCGGCATATTCAAAGAATAATGGTCCAACGATGCCACCAGCCCATAATCCGCACCAAACAGTCACTTTTTCAGGATGGAGAGGTTGTTCATGATATTGGTGTGGATTTTCAGCCCCCCATAATCTGCAATTTTGCTTATTTCGTACCCATTGAGGTGAAAATGAGCCTCATCAGAAAAGAGCACTTTGGCCGAAAATCCGTCTTCTCTTTCCAGCATCTAATTAACAAAAACACGCCGCTGTTGATGGTCTTGTGTTAGTTGGATTTTGTATGGATGGAGGTGTAAATCAATGTGTAAAATCCGGCGTAAAGTGGTCTCACTAATTCCCAATTGTTGCGAACGGTGCCTGGTCGAGGTGGTTGGATCTTCTCGCACACTTTCACTCACTGCGGCTATGTTTTCACGAGTACGAGCTTAACGACCATGTTGGTATGATCTACGACCTTCAGTTGAACCAGTTCCCTCAAAACGATTACCAATCCAACGGATTCCAGGCTCTGTAGGGCGTCCATGTCGGCCAAAACTAGTGCGAAGTTTGCGAAAAGTATTTTTTATATTTCGACCGTTTTCGTAATAAGTTTGGATAACCAAAATGCGTTGTTGTGTTGTAAACGAATCCATGACTATAAATGGCGTACCTTTGACAGTTCATTTATGCATACATAACTTTTGACTCACATGGTAACACATAAACTTATACGCAAAAAAAGAAATAGAGGGCCCACCCAGTATAATATAATGAATTGAGACTTGTTATTACATAGTCACTGTGATGCTTCCACTCCATATGGGAATCCAAATACACACCAAGGAATTTTATATATTTCACATTATTGATATTAATATTATTGAATTTGAAACTGAGTTTGTTACAAATTTTTGCCTTGTGAAATGCATTGCGTCTTGTTTAGATTTAAATATAAATTATTATTTGAAACCATTTATGTAGGTTAGGAATGAAACATCTATATATCTTGTAATTGTTCCTCTCAAAAACCAGAAGCTACAATTTAGATATCATCTGCGAATGAAGTTGTCAGTGCATCAGGTACAACTTTAGGTAACTCCTTTACATAAAGCAAAAATGAAATAGGGCCTGGGGTTATTGGAGAGCATGCTGTCTGGTACCACAATGGGAGACGTTGGAATACTGATGTGTGCCAGAATCTGCAATGTCAAACGACTGATTGATGTGTGGGTGGGTGGGATGTGGCGCATGTGCGCAGTAGCGAGGGGGAATTTTGTCAACACAGCACCCTGAGAAAAATCTTCCTTGTTGTCTCCCGGTTTGTGCTAAAACCAGCCTGAATGAGCTTCTATAGATAAGTACTAAAATAGTAAACATTGATGTTTTGATTCTTCCAGGTGATGCGTTGGCAGCTGTAGCAACAGTGTTTGTAAGTTTACCAGGAGATCAAAGTACCTCCGTCCGACTGGCGTTAGCATCATCATTGATTTTACTAGCAAGACAGTTTCCATCTGGAGGCAGGATATTTCTAAGGCGGCGGTCCATACATGCAGCCCCGCCAGCGCCAACCTAGACTTTTTTACGTGTTGTTTTATTTTATATTTTTAAGGTTGTTATTTATAATAAGACTAAATGTGATACAATTCCGAGTTTTATTTCTAATAATCAATACCAATCGGTTGCCGCGCAAATATCCAGAACCTAGTTAATTGACAGTCATAGAAGGTTTTTCACATGATTTTGTAGTCATAGAATTGATTTTAAAATCTGAGTTTCTCATAAAAATCTGGGTTCATATACAGGCCTGGATTTTATATATTTTATATATACTTCAACACATCCAAAATGTTTTGGATTGGAAAATTGTCGTTATATTTCCTTGACCAGGACACCTATTCTGTACAAGACAAGCTAAGTACATCTTATCATTGTGTATGCTCTTTGATCTTGAGCTACTCCACAATTACACAGTCAATTCTTCATATATGCAAATGCAAACTTTTGATCAAACATCCAGATTTCTTTCAGCAGTCTTGTCCCTTTTGCTTACACACTCATTATTTAAAATATAATATCGCAAGGGTTTGGCAGCCCATTCTGCTCCAGCAGAAGCGATTCCAATTCTACTTGTTTGCACTATTTTTTTATCTTCTTTATTATAGTTTGGATCATCCTCCAACCATATTTGTTCATTCTGCAGGTCTGCAATATTGACCTTGTTTAGAGCCTCCTTTGTAATGTTCATTGCATTGCATAATTTAGCAGGGCCATTACAAAGGTCTTTGATCTTCAGTGAAGACTTTGTACCTTTTAGCTTCTTAACTGAAAACAGAAAATTATAGATGTGATGTAAAGATTTCTGCCTTACACCATATTTTTGAGATATCTTATATGATACCAAATATAAAAATTAAATTCAGTTGACAACAAAAGGTAAAAACTAAAAAAATCAAATAAAAAATATATGTAATCAGTTTCAATATTTGATCAGGCAAGGCTAGTAGGTGTAGTGTTGCATCAGACTGAAGGTGGATAAAAATATAACAGCATATATCAGTGGAGGCTTATGCTAATAGCAGTGTAAGTTGAATTAACAGGTAAATAGGACAATGAAAACTTAATAGATTGGTCAGGTCAGGAAAGAAAGTTATCTCCCTTTTCCATATGAGAATATGAAATAAGCTAAAGCAGCCTTCTCACGAGTCGATTTTAGTAGAACGATTTTTTTTGATCAACAAAAGTCGAATAAAAATATACTTGTGAACCGTGTTTTTGATTTTAGTTGTACCGAAAAAGTTTGATTCATTCAAAATTATCGATCAATTTAATGCGTCATAGGCGATTTTCAGACTAGTTGAAACGGATTTGAAGCGTGTGAACTGTAGTCAGTCGAGTTTCGCATTGAATAAAGTTCATTTTGTGGCTCGTGTGTTTGTTGTGTGTGGAAAAAAAGACAAAAAATGTGCATGAAGTGGTCTGAAAGTATTGTGCTACATTTTTTAGAAGTTTTTTTAGAGTTTTAGAAACAAGGATGCTTGAGACAATGCTTTAACTATCATCGAAAAAGAAATGGAGAAAGTAGATTTTTTCATAAGGGTATCTTGTTTTTGTATTTTGCTTTTTATCTTTAGAAGTCCTTGTAATTGTTCTTCGGACATTCTCAAATTATTTTTGTTCTCTAAAGCCAGCTCCTTGAGCAGGGTTCCTGAAAGACCAATTTATTTCCTGACCCAAAACCGACGTTTTCTAGATTTTCTGTCAAATTTTGACAAAATGTCTCTGATTTCTTCATTTAATAATTCGTAAATAGCTGCTATGCATGCTTTGACAACTTCGTTGGCAGCCATTTTAGAAACAACTAGCGCATCAATTTTTATTATGTGTGCGAACAAATATTCGTTTCGATTTAAGCTGATCAACTTGAATCGACTCGTGAGAACGTTGCTTGAAGTATAGTTTTATTATCTCTTTTTTGTTTGCCAAAATATACATTTCTATTATGTCTACATGAGTCAATACTTTTGTTTCAACTGATCAAAGAACCATTCTGGAATGATAATGCACTTGCACATTTAGGAAAAAGGGTTCCAACAATGTTCATTACTGTAACAGGATAAATCTTTCTTCCAACCAGTTTTGGTATCATTCTAGACCAGTGAAATTGGCATATATGCTTATAAAAGCAATTCAAATTATTATCGAATGGTCCTGGAACAGCACCAGAAAACTCAGAGTTGGAACAAAACTAATGTTTATAGATGTGCTTGGAAGCATTTCTTTTGCACTACTTGTAAAAAAGCAAATATCAGTCATGCTAATTTTGTCACCTGCCTCTACATGGCTATGTGCTTAATGATGACTTTTACATAGTTGTTTAGAATAATAAATAAAATTGATAGGACTGGGTGTTTACCTCTCAGCTTTTCCATGGTATCTATCCCAGAAAGTGGTTCCAAAGCTCTTATCAGTACGGCGGCGCCAGGCTCTCTACTTGATATGTTCATACAAAAGAACATTCCATAGGTCATGTACACATAACAGGTACCCACTTCCATATACATTGGCTCATTTGCTGCAGATCGTCTAGGTAAAAAAAAATGATGAATCAGGATGAAACTCGTGACATATCCTCATACATCCTGTTGTGCTGTACCTGTTATTATAAGAATGTGATGCTTTATCCTCAGTACCCAAGTAGCTTTCCGTTTCTACTATCCTTCCTTGCAATACCGTGTCATCTTCTAACTTCCGCACTAAAACTTTGCCTAGTAAATACACGGCCAATTCTTTACAGTCTCTATCCAAGTCTTCTTTTAATAACCTTTTTGAGTTCATTCTTAAAAAGTATTCCAAACGTCAAACATCAACCCGTTAAAGTCAAAACAAAATTTGAGGTTAGGTTCAGTCGTTAATTTGACATTCCCTTCTTCGTTCTTGTCAAACGTTAATAGCCTCTCCAGACTCGCGCGCGAATCACGGCGTGAAATCGCGGTGCGAATCCCGAAATTTGTTCCTACAGTTCCACACTCGCGGTCTTGACGACGAGTAATTTATAATTACTCATATATAAGTAAAACTGGAGCAATTGAAAATAAGTGGAAAAAACACAACCACTCCCGACATTCGCTATGAGGCAACTGAACCACCAGCGAATGTGAAGCCTAGTCATGTTCGCGCCTTGCGAATCCACTGTCGCGGGACAAAAAACCGACAACAAACGGGAACAACGCGCGAACGAGACGTGAAGCCGCGAAGAATACGCGAATGGGATCCACACTCATGGATCGCGGGCAGTTCGCGGCTTCGTGCGCGATTCGCACGTGTGTCTGGAGAGGGCATTCAAAAAATACGCGTACTGTTTGGGGTCGTCAAGTAGGCAGACTCAGTCTTGTTCTAAAATCATGTGGCCAGCAGGAATCTTCTTTAGGGGAGCTGCTTAGCGGTAAGAGGAAACAATTTGTTTTTGTGGGTGGGATATGGACTGGACCAAACTGGACGGCGTTTCGGTGCCTGTTGTAAAACATTTTGCTCAAGATGCATCGTCCCGTTACGATTAGTCAGATACCATATCCAAAAATTCAAGTTAGCCCTTGAAATTAATACAAAATTATCAGTGAAATTAATGAATACAGGTAGAATCGTGGATATGAGCCGGGAATGCCATTACGTCAGACCGCCGTCTCCGGCAGGGGTCGTATTATGTAAAATACCTAAAAATCACGAAAAAAAAAAACGACGAAATGTCAACTTGTAGACCAGGTAGTTTTTAGTGTACCAAAAAATAAAAAAATCATTCCACGTTTGCTCGCTATGATCTCTGTTCGCTGACGTTTAAGCAACACGTACAGCTACGAAGTTCACAACGTGTCCATCAGCTAGTATTAAGCTAACACATTGTAGAAAAACCTATATAATGTCACAAAAAACCAATACAATGTCAAAAAAATACACATAATATCACTTGTCAAGATACGTAATACCCGTGCCGCTTTGACGGTCAATGACGAATAGACTACGGTGCACGGATTGCAGAGAACCAATGGTGCCATTTAGAATTGTTTACATTTCCTACTACTTTAAAGTTATACCTACCTATATGTAGTTATCCTTTTTCAGTGTTTGCTAAATAAGCTAATTTCACCAAACTGTATCCTATAATCCACCCGATTACTGTGTTCGACGCATTTTGCCAAATAAACATTGCATACGAAATGAATTTCGCAAGTTTATTTGGAAACACGTTGAACGCGAGTAGTCGGTGTTGTCGTATGGATTAAAGGATGTAGTCCGATGAAATTAACATCACAAGTAAATAAGTCTGCGAAGTTAATTTCAACAGAGTTAAAACTGTCCGATGACTTAGACTGCTCCCGTTTGAGATATTCGCTGGATAAACCTGCGAAATTTCACTAGGCTATATCCATTAATCCATTAATAATAGCTACTGCTTCTGTTGAGGTGTCTGTCAAATATAACTGTAAAGTTAATTTTACTAGACTAGACTATATCCTTTAACCGTCCCATAAATTCGACTACTCTCGCTTGGGGTATTAGCTGAATAAACTTCTGATAATAATCTTACCAGAATATGTAAAGTAATCCACCTATATAGCAAGTACTCTCTGACGTGCTTGCCAAATCAAGGAGTTAGTTTCACCAGACTATATCCTTTAACTCTTTCGATGATAGCGACTACCCCCGTGAAGGTGCCTAGCAAATAAGCTTGAGAATTTCACCAGGAGCGTATCTGAGTTTCCGCAGGTACCTTCGAGCGTACGGGAGCGGGATAAAGATTATAGCCTAGTGAAATTGAAACGCGAGTTTGGAAGACACCTCGAACTTCGAGCTAGAGAAGTTGATAATAGTGGATAGATTAAAGGATAAAGGACGTCTATTAACATTTACTTCGCAAGTTTATTTAGCAGACGCCTCGAACAGGAGTAATCGATGCAGTCGGAGGGATTAGAGGATCTAGTCTGGTGAAATTAACTTACCAAGATCAGTTGAAGATTACTCTCGTTCTAAGTTTCACTAAATAAAGCTGGGAAGTTAATTTCGTCAGACTATATCCGCCCGACAGCAGTGACTACTCTCATTGGAGGTGCTTACCAAATAAACTTGCGAGTTAGTTTCACTGGACTATTTCTGATAATCCGCACTACGGTATCGACTAGGCTTCGAGCTGTTTGCCTAATAAACTTGGGCAGTTAATTTCACTGGATAATTTTCGTTGATCCGCCGACGGCATCGACTACCACTGCTCGAGCTGTTTGACATAAAACGCGTAATGTTATTTTCACTGGACTACTACCCATAGTCCACCCATCGGCAAAGACAAATTTAATCCCGTTCGAGATGTTTGTTGTTTGCGAATGAGCTCTATATACAGGGTGACTTTGAAGTTGAGTCATTAATTTTCAGATAGTGATTGTAGAAGGAAGATAAACCAAAATATGTGTGTAAAAATAAAAAAAAAATTAAAAAAAAATTTACCTTGTTTCATAAAGTATCCTCCCGACAAGTATTTCAGTGCGGACCTGTATTTGATCGTGCGGTCTTGGAGCACCGGCATGCCATCCCCTGTGAGGTCTTAAGTCACCTGATTCACGAGCCCTTTTTACTACATTAACAAAGGCACGAGGGGTTGGTTGCACTCGATTGGGAAACCGATTTTGTAAAGACTCCCCCCCCCCGTAAATAAGAATCATGTCCACAAGTTCAGCATTTTCGTAAACATGTGCCATTTTTTATTTCGTTTGAGCCACGCAACAAACACCACTATTCACTCATGCGTTACCGACTGAATACAACTAAAACCATCGTGATACGCGTTTCAAATTCTTTCGCTTTTTTGTTTCCGATCCGATGAACCGATGCGGATTATATCCGTTGTTGCCAAACACGAGCACATAATATTATTATTGAGACAGGGCGGTACTCAAACTTCTAAAAGGCTATAACTTTGTTACTTTAATTTTACCAGAAAAATGTTAAAGGAAAGAAACATTTCTTTTGATCCGATCTACTCACTGTTAAAATAAATGACTCAACTTCGAAGTCACCCTGTATAAACAATCAACGAGAAGAAAATATTTTTTATCGTATTCTCAATGCTTGATTACCTGCAACTTTGAACTTCGTTGCACTGAGCTCCAGATGCTTTTCAGCTGAAAGATCGTCGATAACTCAGAATGCAGGGTCAAAGTTCTGGACGACATACATCAGTAGTCTAAAAACTTCTCTAATAAGAGTTCTCTATCGTAAATGTTGATGTTGAAAAAAAAATTGTAGAATGTTAGTAGAAGCAACACACCATCAATTGCAAACTGCCAGTTTTAGAGCTGCTATCCTCATTCCTAAATTTTCTGTGGAATTCGTAACCCCTACTGAGCGGGGTCGTGGCAAATGCTTGTGCCGTAAGTTGTTGTATCCAGTATATAGCTTCTTCCCGTTCAAGTGATTGTACACGCGTTAAGGAATACCTCAGTACCGAATGCCGGGTGGCGGTACAAGTCCGCCAACGGGCCACTTTAGGTCAATTTAATATCACTAACACGTAAAAAGAAGGTGGTAGACAAGGACCAGTCGACCGAGGCGGTACCACCCGCTAGCTTTTCCCAGGGTATCTTATAAATGTCCGCATGTTTCCACACCAAAGCTATGCAGTCGGTTATCTTCCAAAACAAAGAAATTAATGGTGATGGATCCCTCGTGCACTAAGAACTCCGGACGTAAACTCACTCCACTCTCGGAATGCCCTGGTGGAGGGTGGGCTCGAGGGAACAACATCGAAGATAACATTTGTTTTTCGAATATCTGCGGGATTAACAGCAACATTGATGCTGTTCATCACTACCTGCAATCCAATCGTCCCGCCGTGCTTTTCTTGGCGGAGACAAAAATTTAACCATCTCAACTTCCCAAACTAGGAGGTGCACTCCAACCTGAGAAAGAACGCTGGAGTTGCGGCTTTTGTCCGCAGCAGTCTTTCCTGCTCCAGAGATGTTTCTTTGGAATCAGACCGGACGGACATTCTGTGGCTTCGCCTCAACTCCAAAACATCACCCAAATTTATTTTGCTGCCTTTATCGCTCTCCCTCGGACCAGAACTCGCCGTCCAGATAGACTTCCTGAACATCAATCACCCCGCTTCAGAGGTAGTTCTTCTCGGTGATTTCAATGCACATAATGAGCTTTGGTTGGGCTCAAACAAGACCCATGCAGCAGGTCGTGCAGTCGAGGCGTTGGCTCTTACTCAAGGGCTGCCCAGTTGGTGACGAGCCCTACTTTTTTCCCCTGGGTAACTCAGACCACGGTGTTGTGGAGGTTAGGTTCCGATCAGAACCCGCAGTTGCAACAGAAACTCGTGCAGGCCGCAAAACTTGGCATTACGGACATGCCGACTGGGAGAGGCTCAGAGACTTCTTCTCTAGCTTTCCTTGGAGAGATGTCTGTTTCACAGACGCGGATGCGTCGGCCGTCTGTTCTTCGATAACAGAAATTATCCTCGTCGGCATGCAGGAATACATCCCTCACACAGTGAAAGTGCCTAAACCAGGGTCCAACGGCTGGTTTAACAAATCATGTGACACTGCTCGCCAGCAGATCAAGTCACACAGAACCTTCTGACAAAACCCCACTGTAGAGAACAGACAGAGGTCGAGTCCAGAAACAAGTTGAGCTGGAAAAAAGAAGACTAGCCACGACTTCCTATCTGACAACAGACCTGGAGGCTATCACCGCTTGGGGACGCAACAAACTTCTACAGTTCAATGCTTCCAAAACACAGTACTGTACTTTGACGAACAAAAAGCATCCTAGCGCTCATCCAGTTTCGATGGACGGCCGAGTTCTGCCAAAGAGCCATTCATTTCGGCTGGTCTGAGTTCAGATCACAGAGGACCTGATCTGGCACGAACACATCTCGTCAATAGCTGCAGCTGCTGCGAAAAGGCTAGGCTATTTGTTTAGGGCTAAGAAGTACTTTTCTCCGGATGATCTTCTCACACTATACAAGGCCCAGATACGGCCTAGCCTCACACGTTTAGGGTGCTGCCGCCCCGACTACATTATCCATGCTCTATGCTGTCCAGAGGAGGGCGGTCGGACTGATCCATGACTCTTCTCTAACAGACAGTCTCGGGACTCTTTCACACCGGTGGGCCGTCGGCGATCTGGCTCTTTTCTATCGCTACACCAACGGGCTTTGCTCCTCAGAGGTCTCTTCCATGATGCCGCCGCGCGATGTGCCTGCCAGACAGACCCGTCTGACTATGGCGTCCCATCCTAACCGTGTCAAATTTAGTACATTCAGAACTGGCCGATACGACCGCTCCTTTGTCCCGAGGGTGTCGAGATTGTGGAACAATCTACAAAGGGAAAGCTTTTCCCAGTTCTACTAACCTTAGGCAATTCAAAAATCGTATTAACAAAATTTCTTTGGGATCATCATAGCAGCCGCGGTGTTCCGGCATTTAGGCTTCTGCCTGCGCGGCTGCTTCGATATAAAAAAAAGAAAACATCGCTGCCGTCGTCCATATAGTTTCCACCACTTCTTTGTCATTTAATTTTTAGTCCCACGGTTACAGATAATCCACCGTATTATTCCTTTCAGAACATGATATAAGAGCTGAAGTGCAGCTAATTTTACCCTACAAATGTGCGGAAATCGATAGTTATCAGGGACGGATTCGGGGCAGTTTAGACCGCCGCGCTTCATTTTTGAATATCCGAGAAACTATAAGAGAAAAAGACTGTAGATATGTTAAGTAAAAATTTAATTTTACATCCAGTAGTTTTTGTTTTTTTCATGAAAAATGTCAAACATTTCTAAAAGACGCATGTCTTTTATTAAAAGAAATCTATAACAGCAATTACACAATCATTGCAAGTGCCAAAGGAAACTTAACACAGTCTGTGTTATTTAACGATCACCCAAAACTGGGCACCTAGGCCTAATACTCGTATTACAATCATACAAAGTGTAAGAATATCACACTCAAAACACAGCTATTCCGAAAAATAAAACGGTTTTCGTACAGGCACAAAACTGTGATAGCTCTAACCACAAATATACTAAGTGACATATAAATCCGAACACCCAGTTTAAATGGTTTTATTTTAATAAAATTTTGTATAAGTACTTAATGAAGCATAATAAGTAAATGATAAAAATTTCAAAATGATTGCACTGCTTTAAAGCCCTTTGACCTTTAATAATGTGTGGATGCACCCTGATGTGCTACGCATTCTCCAACGCGCCTAGGCATACTTCTGATCAGGTGGTCAACGTCCTCCTGTGGTATCTCATTCCAGGCAACCACCAACTCCTCTCGAAGTGCTTCTAGAGTCTGAGGAGGACGTTGCAAATTGAGCAACCTCCTACCCATCATATCCCACACGTGCTCAATTGGGGATAAGTCGGGAGATCTTGGTGGCCATGGTAACAATGTGACATCATTATGTTGAAAGAAGTCTATTGTGACTCTTGCAACATGTGGTCGGGCATTATCTTGTTGGAAAGTTGGATCTGCCAGGGTGTCAAGATAGGGTAAAAGATGGGGTTCTAGAACTTCGTGGATATAACGCTGCGCGTTCATGTTACCTCTGATGAAGATTAAAGGTGACCTGGAACCATAAGCTATAGCACCCCAAACCATAACTCCAACAGTGTGATGAACATGACTTTCAACAAAAAACTGTGGATTCCTCCTTTCACCAGGTCGCCTTCTAACCCTGGCACGACCATCGTGCATGCCTAAACAAAATCGAGACTCGTCACTAAAGACAATACTGTTCCATTCCTGATCCCAGAGTGACCGTTGTCTGCACCACTCAAGGCGATTACGTCGGTGTTATCGAGTTAAAGGGAGGAGCCAGTGTGGCCGGTATGAAAACAAGCCAAAACTTCTCATTCGTCGGTAAACACTTCGCATGCCAATATGTCTTCCGTGTTCTGCAAACCATTCATTTGCAATGGACCTGGTAGTGGAGAAACGGTCCCTTAAGGCCAATAATCTTAGGCGGCGATCTTCACGGTCTGTTGTTCTACGGCGGCGTCCGCTGCCCCTTGCACTTTGCGTACGGCCTTCTCGAAGCCATGCCTGACAACACCTAACCACAGTGTTTCTTTGCACTCTAACTGCAATTGCTCGAAAAGAAAGTCCAGCTTCCCGAAGTCCCACTATACGGCCCCTATCAAACTCACTAAGTTGACGAAATCGTACAGGTCTTCGTACTCTAGGCATCGTAACCGATCGTAAAGGATGTCAGGAACCAAAATCCGCCAACGTTGATTCTTTACTGCGGCTGAAATATTCATTTTTAGAGCGTTAGTGAATTAAAAAAAGCAGTATAAAAACCGGAATGTCCAACTGATAAGGCTGAAAATTTTTTCACTTGTTATTTACAGTAAGATAAATACATTCACCAACTTTTATTAAAATAAAGCCATTTAAACTGGGTGTTCGGATTTATATGTCACTTAGTATATAATCTTAAATTCCCTAATTTTACTGCACTATCACGGCGCCACTTTGCATGCTATGCATCTATATAGATACGTTTATCATTCTAGAACGCGAGAACTTGCATGAAAGTGTAAATTCACTCGATTAAAAAAAAAGTACCTACTTCAGTTCCCGCGAGCAGTTGCATTCATCACTATCCCAATTTAGATCGAACCAAAGTACATTTCACCTTGAAATCAATTTGCAGCGCGCCTACGTACAATAAATTGTTTACTTCGCAATAGTTGTGAACTGTTGGTCTTCAGGTGAGTTCATGAAAATTGACGCTTTATTTCTAATATGTAACTGACAAATGTCGCCTGAGATCCCGAGAGTGTTAAGACGACTGCTACATTTTGATGGACGAAAGCTTTACGCAACTTTTCGAGAGGAGCATATATGCTTTTTATACCATAGCTAAAAACACCGATTGCACCAACAGAAAAGGATACATCAAATTCGAGTTAATGAGCACGGGCACTGTGTGTATACGTAGTAGCCGTTTATTTAGAAATCCTAATTTACGAGGGATGTCTTTTAAGTTTTGCATATAGAAACATAGTAGGCCGCGCGGATCGAACGTCAGTACTGAATCTTAACCTCACTCTTTAGCAAACTTAAATTCAAAACGTGGAATTATTGGACCATCCTCCATATAAACCCGATCTAAGTCCTAACGATTTCTTTACTTTCCCAAAAATTAAAAACAGACTGCGTGGTCAAAGGTTCCGGTCACCAGAAGAAGCAGTTGACGCATTCAAAAATGCCGTTTTGGATCTGCCAGCAAACGAGTGGAATAAGTACTTCGAAAATTGGTCCGAGCGCATGCAGATGTGTATTAATTTTCGTAGAGAATACTTCGAAAAACAATAAAGTCATTTAAAACTACCTACCGTGTTGTTTTAGTTTCATATGCAAAACTTAAAAGACATCCCTCGTATTACAACTTGGTTACTATGGGCGTGCGAGTTCAGCCTTTTGTTGATCTTCCTCGTATGTGCCATAACTTCAATTTTCCAGCTATGTCACTTCAAATTAACAAGTCTTAAGTGTATTTTTTGGGCTTGATGCATAGTATATGTGAGTTCCAAAGAATTGAAATTTCACGGTTTATTAACATTATTATTAATTTAAATTAATGGAAGAAGCCCAAAAAGCTTTATGGCCTTAGCAGGTAATAGGGTTTTATATCACAATCATACCTTTCCTTGCTTATTATTGAAAATTAAACTTAAATATTGATTCAGAACATGTTTTAATTTTGCATGTTTTAATACTTTTAAGCAGCATATGGGAAACTCGGGCAAAACGAACCCTTGCGAGAGCCGTAATTCCTGTTTTACATCTATTTCAATAAAAGTTGGTGAATGTATTTATCTTACTGTAAATAACAAGTGAAAAAATTTTCAGCCTTATCAGTTGGACATTCCGGTTTTTATACTGCTTTTTTTTAATTCACTAACGCTCTAAAAATGAATATTTCAGCCGCAGTAAAGAATCAACGTTGGCGGATTTTGGTTCTTGACATCCTTTACGATCGGTTACGATGCCTAGAGTACGGAGACCTGTACGATTTCGTCAACTTAGTGAGTTTGATAGGGGCCGTATAGTGGGACTTCGGGAAGCTGGACTTTCTTTTCGAGCAATTGCAGTTTGAGTGCAAAGAAACACTGTGGTTAGGTGTTGTCAGGCATGGCTTCGAGAAGGCCGTACGCAAAGAGCAAGGGGCAGTGGACGCCGCCGTAGAACAACAGACCGTGAAGATCGCCGCCTGAGGTTATTGGCCTTAAGGGACCGTTTCTCCACTACCAAGTCCATTGCAAATGAATGGTTTGCAGAACACGGAAGACCTATTGGCATGCGAAGTGTTTACCGACGAATGAGAAGTTTTGGCTTGTTTTCATACCGGCCACACTGGGTCCTCCCTTTATCTCGAGAACACCGACGTAATCGGTGCCAGGGTTAGAAGGCGACGTGGTGAAAGGAGGAATCCACAGTTTTTTGTTGAAAGTCATGTTCATCACACTGTTGGAGTTATGGTTTGGGGTGCTATAGCTTATGGTTCCAGGTCACCTTTAATCTTCATCAGAGGTAACATGAACGCGCAGCGTTATATCCACGAAGTTCTAGAACCCCATCTTTTACCCTATCTTGACACACTGGCAGATCCAACTTTCCAACAAGATAATGCCCGACCACATGTTGCAAGAGTCAAAATAGACTTCTTTCAACATAATGATGTCACATTGTTACCATGGCCACTAAGATCTTCCGACTTATTCCCAATTGAGCACGTGTGGGATATGATGGGTAGGAGATTGCTCAATTTGCAACGTCCTCCTCAGACTCTAGAAGCACTTCGAGAGGAGTTGGTGGTTGCCTGGAATGAGATACCACAGGAGGACATTGACCACCTGATCAGAAGCATGCCTAGGCGCGTTGGAGAATGCGTAGCACATCAGGGTGCATCCACACATTATTAAAGGTCAAAGGGCTTTAAAGCAGTGCAATCATTTTGAAATTTTTATCATTTACTTATTTTGCTTCATTAAGTACTCATACAAAATTTTATTTAAATAAAACCATTTAAACTGGGTGTTCGGATTTATATGTCACTTAGTATATATAAGTTCATGGACCCTGATGAGCTCCTTCAATCTGGTGAAGATTTCAGTTTCGGGATTCAGAAGCAGACGCTGCCCGATAGCTTTATCGACATAATCAATTCGCCAGCACATTTTAATTAACACATCAATATAATTGGCAATCGGTTGTAGAAGATTACTTGTTTGACTACCAGACATACAAATGTTATTTTTCAACAACAAAAAAATGCCTTTTTGTACTATTTTTACGAGCAGCTATTCAAAATATTTAGCGTATATCTAAAGAACCTTCTCAGTCATATAAATGAGAAAAATTAGGTCAATGGTCAAAGGTAGAAAACCAGATATCTTTTAGACAAGTGATTTCTGTCAAAGTGGATAAAATATGATCATGTATCTAATAGAATTAAGAAATTAAATTGGATGAAAATCTGATCTTTGGAGACGATTTGCTGGTATTTTTACATAAATGAATAAATCAATCCACATCTACATAACTTCCACGACCACGAACCTCTGGCTATTCCTACTCAGCCTTCCGAATATAAGCTTTTATATATCAATTAATTTATCATTACAATGCACTCCCATTAAAAATTTGATAAATACCCACAGAAATTTCGAGTAGCACTTAGAAAATATTTATGAGATATATACATACATGTGGTAATCCATGCACCAAGTAGATAAGATAAAAGTAGATAATGTTATGTGAGTACAAGTTGCATTTATAGAGTATAACAGGTATATAGAGTGACCAAGATAAGAATCATGAGCATGGGGATGTCGATACGTGTGGAAGATAAGGCTTAGATTAAATTAGGGAAAAGTTTCGTTCTTTCTGACGTATTTACATGCCGTTGAGAAACTTGTCAAAATTTCATGCTTTACTGAGATGTTTGGGCAAAACTAAAATTTGGCCAAGCCATTTTTCTTTTAAGGAATATCAAAAAACTGATGAAAATTTACCATTGGCACTTTTTAGGCACTACATGATGGTGTCTTAAATTTTGTGCCCGATGATTCGTTTTTGAGAAAGCCTCAACTTTATTTTGCTATATGTTCCGAAAAAGAGTACATCCTGTATCTAATAGCATTTTTTATACGAATTCAACGATGTATTTTACATGTTTCACTTGTTTTTTGGTTATAAGGAAAAACGCGTTTTTTCTTATTTTCTTTTATGTAGGCGATACAAACAAATGCATGACTTGACGTAGATACCTGTCACTCAGTATTGTTATTATTTTGTATTGTTAATATTGCTTTATTATCGTGAAAGATGCCAGGCGGTCGTTTTAGCAATGAAGAAAAGTTCGACATTCTGATCTGCTACACGTTGTGCTTCAAAAATACTAAAAATACTGCAGAAATGTATCTTGATGAATTTCCCGAAAGAAGGCAGCCAAAAACGAAAGCACCGTGTTTTCTTAAGCAATTTTTTCTCATATAGCTAACTGTCAATAGCTGTTGGAATAAAGATGGCGGAGAGGAGTGCCTGTCTCTTTTGAGATATTTTTTCTGCTGTGTATGCTTCATGCTCAAGGAAACTGTCAAACGCGCGGAGCTTAAATAATCATTAGGTTTTCAATGATTTCCCAGTTTTCTGCCCAATTTTCATGATTTTTCTTTCCGTAAGAACCTTCTATACAGCATTGGGAAAAAAGATGAATGAACTCGGTAGACTCGTTCTCAAGTTATGGCGTGACCACGCGAAATAGGGATTCATTTATATATATACAGGGTGTCCCAGAAGTCGACGTCAAGCCGAAACCGGGTGATAGGCAAAGTCATAACAGCTATCAGAAAAATATTTAAAAAAATTTTATGTATGTGTTTTGAAAATTATAGGTCTTTGAAAAAAAATAGAAATTTCACACCCTACGGCAGTCTGTCAACTCCTGTTACTACAAATATTAACTTTTTTTGGATTTTATTTTTACAATGTAATGATGAATAATGCATCTTCAAACTGGTGTCTCAACTTTACTGCCAACTTTTCTCGTTCAGGAAAAATTGCCACTTATTTCCCAACCAAGTATTCCAAAGTAAAACTTTGCCCAACTTTAACTGGCTGTACTGGAAAAAAATGTACTACGAGAGTTTGGCAACCTTAAAAGTTGGCGCATTTAATAACGATTCCAAAATGGTATAACACTTAGAAGGTTACTCGTTAACTTATGCACAATTTTTATTTGAAAAACAAACTGATGAAAATTTTTCAAAATTTCCTAATTAAACAGCGATTATGAAAACGCACAAGGACCGTTAAGGATAACTGTTTGCACAACAGTGGGCGTCAAAATGCTGCTGATGATGATTTACCTTTACAGCAAATGCTCAAACTGTTTTCCTTCAGCCGCAATACACGCTCGACATCTTCTTAAAAAAGATCGGGTTATTAAACGAGCGAATCCACGGTTATTAACAAACTCAGCTGCTTCCAATAGTCGTAGCTCAGCTACATTATGAATGGGCTTGAAATACACTTTTTCTTTTACAGTTCCCCAGTAAAAAAAATCTAACGGATTCAAATCTGGTGACCGGGCTGGCCACGGTATTGTACCAGACCGCCCTATCCATCTGCCTGGAAAGTTTTGATCGAGTCATCATGCTGAAACCACATGTCCCTGTAAATACTCAGTGGCACGTCCACCAATACATTTTGTACATGATTTTTCAAAAAATCCAAATAAACTTCAGCAGTCAAAGTCTCTGGGAACTCAAACGGACCGATTATTTTACCATTTAAAATTCCTGTCCAATGGTTTATCTTGAAGCGATATTGAGATTTATCTTCTCTCATCAAATGTGGGTTTGCTACGTGCCACTCGTGTAAGTTATGCAGGTTCATGTACCCATCTTTCTTAAATGTGGTCTCATCCGACCATAAATTTTTTCAAAGAACTGTGGATCTTTCCTGTGTCTCTCTAACATTGTGCGACAAAAAGCAACTCGGGGCTCATAATCCCTGGGCAGGAGAGGTTGAACACGCTGTATGTGGTATGGATGAAGCACATCACTTACTTGCTATTGCACACTTTGATACCGATCAGTACTCCTTCGTTTACCGCGCATCTTTACATGTTCGTGCTTGATGATTTCGTACTGTTACTAATTTTGGATTCGTGAACTGGACTGTTGATCGCTTGTGATTTGGATTTGGACTGTTTAATTGCTCTTCAAAACAACATTTGCTTTCCTTAGACTATCTTTGATAGTGTGATTGTGCAGTGCCGCTATGTCCGTGTACACCGTACAAGAATA